GGAAAATAATTGGCATATTCAATTTTGCTTATACAACGGTTTATATTTTGTCTTAAGGTACTTTTTTCACACAAGAGGAAGACGTTCCGCTCACCGGAATCGTAATTTTATTCATTTGAGCTTTCGGGCTCTTGCGGGAGTCCATCGTCAGAGATAAAGCGTCAACTAAAAGCGAGCAACTCTCATGACATTCGATTGGTTCCTGCCCCCTATAACTGTTGCCCGGTTTTCGTTGACGGTTTATCTCCGACGATGGACTCCCGCAAGAGCTTGACAGTTCAGATGAATAAAATGAGGATTCCGGTGATCGCAGCGACTTCTTCTTTATGGTAATCCCGCTCAGGTGGGTTCCAAGTCAGGGTTGGCGGCTGCGCCAGCTACCTGCACCTTCTCCCGCCTGGGGCTGCACGAAGGAGACTTTGGCGACCACATTCAAAGCGTTGGCCAAGCTGCATCTCACTTATGCGGTAGCAATCTGGCCTCCTAGGATCAGGTCTTCCAGCCTCCGCCGCCTTCAGTCAGCACAGAACGCCACCCACCGCTTAATCACGGGCTGCTATTAAATGTCGCCTATCGATAATCTTTGTGCAGAGGCCTCTGTACTACTGCCGGTTGCCACTCACAACGCACTCTTAGGTCAGCAGGTTTGGTGGACCTGTTTGCAACTCGGCCATCCTAATCACCAGTGTTGTCACGCTCCTGAACCCCACCGCAGCGTTCGCCCGTCTATTAGAGTTCTGCACAAGGAAGCTGTTGCCTTTGTCTCTCAGATCTACCCGTTGATAGCTCTGTCATCAGGAAAGGCTTCCAGCGTCTTCACCAGAAAGTCGTTGTCGACGCAGAACGCAACTACTAGTCCACGGTCCTTTTAGGCAGCTATCGACCACCGATTGCGCCCTCACAGTAGCTACTCAATGCTCCTTCGCAAGCCCCAACTGCAGTTCGACCCGTGCACATCCGATAGCTGTTCCGACTGCAGAATCTCTCCACATGACTGTCAGTATCTTTTTACCTGCAGTTTCCGGCCAAGCACCCAACTCATCCCCCCGGAACGCTGGCTCAAGCCGGTTGAGGTCGCCGCTTTTCTCTGTCTTCCAACTACAACCAATTGGGATTCCGGCGGGGACTTCTGATCCCAAAAGTGCTACGACACACTCACACACACCACTTATGTAGGAAGGTTGCTTCTCACGGTAAATTAAGCACTGCGCACCGTTGTTTAATAAATTGAATGCGCCTGACAGTTAAAAGATTTGAGTGGCAAACTGCATGCAAAATAATCGTTAAAAACGTTGTGCGCTGCTAGCGGGTGAACTAGCCGTCGGTAGGAATAAAAGGCCAATCGTCATTGCGAAGGAACGGCTTATCCTTCTGAAAGGACTAAATTATTTATTTGTAAATGCGCTGCAAAGAGAAAAAGTTTAAAGAGGGTGGGCGGGTGAGTGAATCGAGGTCGGTACTCCTGAATTATGAGGACATTAAGAACAAAAATGAATTAAGTATTTGATAGGCTTTATGAACTGTCGTGTCGATAAGCGCTTTATTCCTCTGTAGAAATTTTAACCTACATGCAAAGTACAATGGCTGACGTGCTCGCTAAATCTTCGGAGCCTTTTTCATTTCCCGCTGCTTCTTTGCGGACTCCATTACTAATATTTGAAATATGCTACCAAAAGTCGTAATCTTCCCAATTGACAGCCTTAACGCATGTCTGCACTAAAACGTCGGACTAAACTGCCCTCCAGAATTGAGTTTTTTTAATAGTAAAGACAGACAAATTATAATTAAGGAGACAGGTTTGGCAAAGTTGAAAAAATGCATTTGAAACAATTGTGAAAACCCCAGTAGCCTAGGTGGCATTCGAACCCACGCCAGGAAGGCAAAGGCTGTGGTACAGCCTACGCTCTAGCCGACTGAGCTACGAGGCCACACACTTGCGTTAATTTACTCGTCCAGCCTACTGCACCAATACTGAGACAGTAAGCTGGCCGCCCAAGCAAGGTTTCCTAGGCAACCAATCTATAATGCACCAGATGAATACCAGACACACACCGAGGCCACCGCGTTTTTCCAAACTGGGCCAAATGAATCGTTCAAATCTGCTAAGACTGTCTAAATATTATGGGGCCATCATAGCTGTTGCCTGAACCTGCGGACACTGAGTCAAAACGCTTGGCCCGGACTTGCAAACAGGTATAAGATGGAAATGAGAAAATAAAGGTGAGAAGCTGAGGTCGAGGCAGCACATGGTGTGCTCCCTGCAAATACGCTAATAAGTTCTAAACGGAAGAAGAATAAGAAAAAGTAGTATGGTGTAGAATAAGAAGAAGAGACCGATGGATCACCGGAAGTATTTTTTTATTTGTCAGAGCCTTTGGACTCGTGCAGGAGTTCATCGTAAGATAAAAGGCGATAGTTACACGGATTGTCTGTTAATCAACGACCAGTGACGCAGGCGTGGAATTGGGTCCGCAGGGTTCTATATGCTGACGCCAGATCGACAAATCGTCTGACTATGTTCTCATCCGAGGCTCAGGCTTCAATCAATTCGCGGCCAGTCTCGCTTCTGGCGTGGGAGATAATCGTGATGGCTACGACGTGAAGTCCGTGACCCCTTTTGAAGGTGATATGGCACCACCTTGTCACACGCACGCAACCAAGTTATTTTAGTACATGCGCGATCCGAGCATGCATGCCATTTGATCAGTGCAATTTATCAGAATAGTTTTGACACAGTACACTACGCCGGACTGCTTCCTCGCTTTTAATCATAATCTTACTGGGTATAGTAGGTTTGAGGCGGTGGGCAGTTACAACACCTAGTCCCGATTCCCAGACCAATAAACAGTTCCGGTGATATCCTTCTTCTTCACCCTTTCTCACTAGAGACATATGGAATATTCGAACATTCGTCTCCATATGTTCTTGCCTATTTTTCTTGTTAAGTAGTGCCTTTTCGTGATGCAACGATAACATTACAATTTAATTGTCAAATTGATGATTAACTAAGCACAAGCCTCAATTCTTATCAGCGACGGAGATAAACGGTCCAAACGGGAGGTCAGCGTGAAGCCAGTGAGACACCCAATTAAAGGACAATCTTCAAGAATAGGTGGTTCAATTTGAATGTACGGTAGGTGCCAATATCCATGAAACTTTGCCCGATGTCTAACAGATAGAAGCCTATAACAACAGAGGGTGGCGAGAGGTTGTTGATAGATCGATTCAAAGCCGGTTCGGCCGATACAGTCAACGCCATTAGACATGACACCCCTCCGGTAATGTCCCACGTACCAATTGGAGAATATTTGAATCTGCTTCGCAATCCTATTTAAGCAGCTTCCACCGCTGTCTCATTCTTTCTCAGACCTGGCTGGACGCAGTCAGCACTAGCGCGGCTTTCGAATTTGAGCCACCCATTTTTTTTTGCTCTCCATTCACGTG